AGGGTCCCCCTCCCGCCCGGCGGGGACCAGCCCAGGTGCGGCTGTCTTTGTTCTCGCGCAGGTAGGCGCGTGGCAGCCGCGGGCAGCGCATTCACCCGCAGCCCGAGCTCCGGCAGGTGCATCCCGCCAAATCTGGGCAGCGCAGATCTACGCATCTGGTAAAGCCTGGGCAGGTCCAGCCTATGCATCCTGCAAGGCCTGGGAAGGTCCAGCCCCACTCATCCCGGAAGGCCTGGGCAGGTCCTGCTCACTCATGTTGCAAGGCCTGTGTAAGTCCAGTCTGTGCATCCTGCAAGGGCTGAGCAGGTCCAATTCGAACATCCTTCAAGGCCTGGTCAGGTCCAGCCAGCGCCCCACACCTTGACCCCACAGCCTGCAGAAAGGAACTGTGCCCAGGATAGGACCAGCGTCCCCAGGCTTGCTCTCCCAGGTTCTGCCTAGGAGCATCTGCTTCAGCACCCAAGGCCTTTTGCTCTGGTTTTCCAGCTCGCTGTGACTTGCCCTTGGCCAGCATGGTCCAACCTCAGACCGCCAAAACCGAAAGCCCATCCTCTGCTCCTGGTGCCAGCGCACAGATGGATGATGTGGTTGACACCCTGACCTCCCTGCGCCTCACCAACTCTGCTCTGAGGCGCGAGGCCTCCACACTGAGGGCCGAGAAGGCCAACCTCACCAACATGCTGGAGAGCGTGATGGCTGAGCTTACCCTGTTGCGCACCCGGGCACGCATCCCTGGCGCACTGCAGATCACTCCGCCTATCTCTGCCATCACCTCCACCGGGACCCGACCTATGACCACGCCACCCACCTCGCTGCCTGAACCCTTCTCTGGAGACCCCGGCCAGTTGGCAGGATTCCTGATGCAGATGGACAGGTTCATGATCTTTCAAGCGTCCCGCTTCCCCGGCGAAGCAGAGAGAGTGGCCTTCCTGGTGTCCCGACTGACTGGGGAGGCGGAGAAGTGGGCCATCCCCCACATGCAGCCCGACAGCCCTTTGCGAAACAACTACCAGGGCTTTCTGGCTGAGCTGCGCAGAACCTACAAATCCCCGCTGAGGCACTCAAGGCGCGCACAAATCCGGAAGACTTCTGCATCCAATAGGGCTGTTCGGGAGCGGCAGATGTTATGCCGCCAACTGGCCACAGCTGGCACAGGACCCTGTCCAGTGCATCCAGCCTCCAACGGGACCAGTCCGGCACCAGCCTTGCCCACCCGCAGCCGGAACCTTTAGGGACCTGTGGCCACCCAGGTAGCTAGACTGTTCCTGAGAAGAATTGTCAATATGGTAGCATTGTCCTGTTTGCAGACACCTTTCACGCCTCTCCTGGCCTATGGGAGGTCATCCTGCCATTCTCATTGGTCATCCACCCTGCTGTGTGTTTTTTGCTAGCTTTACCTGCAACTCAGTGCATGCTCCCCTTTCTGTCGCTGGCAATCCCAGCTTCTGTAGTAATCACAACACAGCCCTTTAGACATGTGCCTGCCTAAGAATCATTTAGGCTGACCACCTCTGTGGGCTTGCCTAGTAGACATTCAGCTTCTGTGTACTCCCTATAAGCACCCTGGCGGTTCCCTTCCTGGTCACCCTGGTCTTGCTGATGAGTTCTGAATAGAAAGAAGCCAGCTTGGCCCTGTAGGTGGCTGATGTATACCTGAACCAGCCTGCCTACATCTGGTTATTTGGCAACATAGCTAGGTAGTCACTCTCCTTTCCAGGGGTCCTTTTGGCTATGGGGGAGCCTGTATTTAAGCATACCCCACTGCTGTTGCTGGGAAGGCCTGGTCCTTCATAGACATTCCTGCCTCTCCCATCCACAGGAGACTTGTTCACACCTGTAACTGCCAGTGTTCTGGAAGGCATCAGGGAAGCCTAGCATTCGTCTGTCGAGTTAATTGTGGACCTGGGACCTTGGGCAGTTCCATCAGGCTTCTACAGGCAACAGATTCCTGACATCCATGTGTCAGCTATGACAGACTGAGGGGGATCCTGAGGACCCCATTTGCTGCCTGGATTTTCCTTGAAAGGCTCACAGGCGTCTGCTCATGCCTGCCCACATGGTTCCATCGTGGGCCTTGTCTAGCCACAGACTCCTTTCCACCCAGGTGCCATGTGGCTTTCACCTCAGCCTTTTATCCACCCACACCATCTCTAGGGGCCCAAGGAACCCACATAACATATACCCTTTCTGTGCCTGGGCCTAATGGCTTTGTCCAAGAACAAAAGACTGGCTGGGAGCCAGTTCCTCTGGAAGACATCGAGCACCTTCAGTAGGCGATGTTGGCCTCTTACTGAAGAACTGACGAAGAGCGGCCAAACAGTCTTGGTCCTCATGTGGACACACATTCCAATTCTGAGGAACAAAGCATTGGCTTCTTTGAAGAAGAATGACCTGGAGATCATACTCAGACTCAGCCAAGCCCTTGGACAGTGACATCTGTCACATTTCAATGCCAAATTAACTGTTTACATACCCAGTTGGCCCCTTGGGGGAGATGGGTGCCTCTCCTGGGTTATCCTGCCCTCCTCTGCATGGTCTTGTCTTGACCACAAAAAAAAAAAAAAAAAAAAGAAAGAAAGAAAGAAAGAAAGAAAGAAAGAAAGAAAAAAACACCTCTGC